TAGAATCTTCGAACCATTGGTTTTTTATTCCGATAAGCTGAAATTTGGATCTTTGTTAAACGAGTGACAGGTTGAAGGTTTGAAATTCTTGACAGAACAATTTGAAACCCTAACGACATGTAGAGTTGTGAATCACTCAATGAAACGCGTCTGTTCTTATTCATTTCAACATAATGATTCTCTTATAGTTTGATTTTTTTGTGTTGACCGCTTAACCGTCACCTAAAGTGAGAGGTAAAGGTAGAGCTTTGGATCATAATTCCGAATATGATATTTTTATTGCTCAGAAGTTGAGTTCTGATCGACACAAATTGAGAATTATGGGCAGAATTCCGACTTTCCCCACTGATTTAGAAAAAAACGAATTTTCTCAGGAACGAAAGAAAATTTTAAAAAAAGCTTTACATACATTTTTCCTACAAGTATACTGAGTAGAAGGAAGTAACAATTAATGCTTAGTCTGTCGATGAAGAAAATTAGATACCTTTGTCAGAACTAGATACCCTCTGACAAATTTGTCAATAGGGAAGTTACTATTCTGCTACTGTTCAGTGACTTTGGCGGTCAGTTTCAACTTTAAACTTTAGAAGTTCAGCTTTTTGTACTCAAATTTTGGTGAAGAATCAGAAAAAATTAGTTTTAGAATTTTAGGAAACAATAAGTGTAAAAAATTTCTTTATATTTAAAAATTTCACCGTTGCTTATTTTCAAAAAATGAGTATTTTTAAATTTTTTCACCAAAGAATGACTTTCCATGAAATAATTTTGATATCCTAACACAGGTTAGCATATGTTAAAAAAATTCGAGAAACTTGCGTTAGAATGGGTTAAGTTTTCAAATATGACGCGTGCTAACGTTTCTTCGGAGCAGTAACGAGACAGATCCGGTTAAATCTGGTTCTAAGAAATATAACGAGTTTTTCCAAAAATAGATGGTATACGGTGTAAACGCGTTTAAAAATAAAGAATACGTGTACATTCCTGAATAAAAGTTACGGGTAAAATAAATGGGTTAGAATAGATTTTAACGCGTTAAAACTCGTTCAACGATAACTCACTAAATGCGTAAGCGTTCCAGTGCGTTAGAACGGTAATTTTTCAGTCACCCTTTTGTTTTTGCACGACCAACTCATATATAAGTATCATGTCTACGAGATATACGGTACATTCACTAAAAAAGTTTTCTAAGTTTTCCTCTTACTATATATATGTGTAAGACACTAGTCTACCATAATGATGCTGCTGAACAGTATCTAGTAGATCATAGATATTGGGATCCATCAACGGAACAAAAACCTGACTGAATGAAAAGGATAATCACACTATACACGCACTATAACGCGTTAAAATTAGATTGATCCGAAGTATTGTTCTAACGAGTGTAAACGTATTCAAGAAGCTAACTAATTCAATTTTTAACGAGTTTGAATGATTTATGATTATGGAGCGTTACCACACACTACTAATCTAACTCATTAGAATCATCGAATATGAAACATTTACGCGGTTCTAACGCGTTAAGCCGCTTACGTTACGCGTTCGAGTTATAAAATTTTTGTAATTAACGAGCTTGAACGTCGTTTTCATATTTTTCTTGTAAAGGCGCGTTTCAGTGCGTTAGAATTAATTTTCAATCCCATATAAGTTTGAAAAACAACACATTTGCACGAATTCAGTGGTATTTAGCTAGTGTGTACGCATTAAATTGTTCTTTTATTTAACGCCTGCTAACACGCGTTAGAGTATCGAAATTATTTCATGGGTTCTTAAAATATGGGATTATGTATTTTTAATGCAACTCGATGGGTTCTATCTAGCCATGCCGAAAAATTGAAAAAAAGTATAGTAGTTAATAAGTTTTTGGATTGCTCAAATGTTTGTTGCGCAGCTTACCACGATCTGATGCTATTTAAGTCACTATCAACAACATCTGAATGCAGAATTGTTTGATATATATTCTGATGACACGTGCTATCTGATAGTTTGATGCTATTGGAAAGGGTCTTCTGTATATTACGTAGCTTTTCGCTCTGTTGAATTTTAGGTGAAAGGTGTTTGCTCGCTACAAATGCTTTCTGTTCTTCAAACAGCAACATAAGCCAACATACCTTACTGCCGCGAAAACCCCCACAACTGAGGAAAAATAAAAAATAAAATCGCGATCAAAACTTTCTCTAGGTTGTTTCTAAGAAAACTTTATTTTGAAAGATGAGAGATTCCACTTTATTCTTCATTCGAAGCTAGTCTCATTCCATTCGTGGCTTCAACATAGTTTTTCTTTTTTAATAGTGACTGCTACCGGAACATATTTTAAGTCTCAATGTCAGGCTCCTGGTCAAATTTGAAGAATTCAGTTCCCAAGCATACTGATGCAGGTAAATCCCTTGAAGAAGAGATTAAGCATTATGACTTTGGAGAATTGATTGATAAGATGTTATCGTCCAACAAATTCATCCAGCAATTCATCGAGTTGATTCAGAAAGAATTTCAATTAAATGATCAAACAATTATTACATTCGCTGTTCATCTGGGTCAATTAGAAAACAAACAGCAACAACAAGTTGAAAAAAAGGAGTGAAGGTAATTCTGCATTAGAAATAAAAGGATTATACGATGAATAGAAAGCGGCCTTGGAGCTTAATAATCTTTTACCTAGCAAATTGAGCGAACAAAAGACGCGTTTATCAGCAAAAACTGACGAATTCGGACAACAAATACGTGCCATGACGGATAAGGTTCGGCAATCTGAGAATGAACTTGAACTCGACTTATCCAAAAAAGTCCAACAACAAGAATTAGAACTGAAGTGAGAATTTGACGGCAAAGTAACACAGTACGAACAAAATCTCAAACAATCTGAAGATTCGATGTCCAAGAAAATGATCAGCTCGAGCACTACAATCGGCGAACAAATCTTCGAATATTTGGTGTCGAAGAAGAGAAAGGAGAAGATACGAATCAAATAGTATTGTATTTAGCGGAAGTACTGGACATTCCAGTGTTTGAAGAAGATATTCCCGGTCGTACAAAATTTGTCAACCAGTCTAAACGACCAAATTTTTTACATTGAAGCGGAAGATGAAGATGAGTATGAGTTGAAATTGTGAGTAATTTGGATGAATATAAATTAG